CCATCGGAAAACAAAAAGATATTTACATTACGATTCATAACAGTAGCAAAATTACAGTTATAGAGTAGCAACGAAAATAATTTTATGGTTGGGAGTCACCACAACATGAGGAACTGTATTAAGGGGTTGCGGCATTAGGAAGGTTGAGAACCACTAGTTTATAGGAACAAAATAAACAGCTTATGAGTGGTTTAATACAGCTTATGGTTAAGTGACTTAAGTGAATACTGTTTCAGTGGGTGCCACGCCAAATTTCAATTACGATGTGTATAAAATCCGCCTTCTTACAGCTTAAGAACAGTGCGCCCGCCTTTCTGAACAAACTCAAGGGCTGTTGAATCATAGACATAGGCAGGCACTGGTGCCAAACAAGTGGGGGAATGATCAAGTTCAGAATCTGAGCGTTTCAGTCAACTAATTTCTGGTTCCTTTTCCCAAACAGAGGTTGTCACACTTTAGAAAGCCTTTGGTTCTCTTTCAATACTATTTGACATGTTTGTGGAAGCTAGCCATTTAGGAGTGTGGGTGTCCAGAAATAATGTTTTGAAGCTTGATCACATCTCTTTCTAGACTTGCCTGGATTTTATCCTAACAGGCAATCCTTTCCCTTTGTCATCACCCTTGAACTGAAGGAATGTGATTAGGAGATATTGACCTTAATTGAGCACCCAATGCTTTAAGAAAACAGATAACGTGGCAGCTGGAATGCTGTCACCAGCTATCAGAGAGATGAACCAGAAAAGATTCTAGAGCTTATTGCAAGCTTGAATAACTTTTTATTTCGATATATGTGTATTTAAAGATTAGCTCATACGTTTAGTTATACAATATGTCATAGATAAAGAGAATAACAAGCTAAAACTTCATATGGTAGTGACATTTAAAAAGGCCGTATATGTTCAAGAGTTAGGTCTTCTGTCACAAGGAAGGTTTTCATTTTGACATATTCAGGGATAGCTTCTCTTGGACTCGCATCCCAGTCAGTGTAGTCTTTTCTGGCTTTGTCGGTTTAATGATCTTGTGATTGTGATTGAGTCCTTGCAAACTCCGGAGGCTGCGCCTCCACTGGATCAGAAAGGAGTGGGGAGGATAGATCTGTTCACTGCCACCTTTCTGGACAGGAGCAACCGCTGTGGGGATGAGCCGGGGAGGGAAATTCCGTTTGATATTCGAGGAGCCTTTTCTGACCCGGATGTTTTCCTGATACCTCCTTCAAGCAAGAGCTTCCTAGAAATTCCTTCTCTAGGACCCTGACATCCCAATGGGGTCTCTGTGCGGCTCTTTCCTACCCTTCCTCACTCGTCTTTCTGTCCTCCTTTCTCCTCACCCTCCCTTTCCCCAAGCAGGCCAGCTGAGCTGCATTTCCTTCCCAGCTAAGGAAGAGAAGTACCTCCAGCAGATTGTGGACTGCCTCCCCTGCATCTTGATCCTCGGCCAGGACTGTAATGTCAAGTGTCAGCTATTGAACCTGCTATTGGGGGTGCAGGTGCTTCCTACCGCCAAGCTGGGCAGTGAGGAGAGCTGTAAGCTTCGGCGCCTCCGCTTCACCTATGGGACTCAGACTCGGGTCAGCCTGGCGCTTCCCGGCCAGTATGAACTAGTCCACACGCTGGTTGCTCACCAGGGCACCTGGGAGACCATCCCTGAGGAGGACCTGGAGGTCCAAGAGGACAGCGAGGACGCTGCCCATGTTTTAGCCGAACTGGAAGTGACGATGCACCACACTCTCCTACAGGTACTAGTCTCGTGCTTATACGATTATACACGCACACACTAGCTTTTCTTGTATTTGAGCTTCCTCAGAAAGTAACTTGGCAATGCATACCCCGGGCTCTGAGCATCAGCTGATGGGGTCAAAGGTACATAATTTAAAAACAGACCAGGTTGTAGCAGTGCCCATCCCTGCCTCTGCTACCATACTGCAAGGCCCTGAGCAATTGGCTGGCCGCCTTGCCTCCTAGCTCCCTTTCTAAAATCGAAGGAATGTGATAGTTGCATCTCAGTGTGCTTTTATAGAATAATTATGATCAGGGTTAGAAACCCTTGTTCCTTTCTTAGCAGGTGTTGCTAGGATTGTCTCTAGCCATCCCTTTCTAAAAGGAACAATAAGATGATGGATTAATGTTCTTATTGGAGTTGAGACCAAATGAAGAATTTTGTATTTCCTTAGACCTAGCCATTACTTGCTAAGTGGAACAGATCATGTTTCCTACTTTCTAAGGAACTTGGGAACATGAGGGCAGGTCTGGCTCCATGTTATGAGATATGGAGATCCCGGCACCTGAAGAATATTTTTGCTCTCTATTGAAGTCAACTCGCAAAGAGCCCAGGTCTTATGGCGTCTCCTAAGAAATCCTGCTGCCTACTGGTATTCTTGTCTCCACTTAGGAAGGACTCATCTCTTGTGCTCGGCTTCCTTTCCTGTTGTATAGCTAGGGCTGGGATATTTAATTAGACTGAATGGGGATAGGCAAAGGAGGTGACCATGACTGTAGGGATCAGGAGTGGGCAGAGATAAAAGAATGCAGACAGGGCCGGCCGAGTGGCGCGTTGGTTAAGAACTGGCTTGGGATGCCAGAGGGCCCCGGTTCGGATCCCACATATGAGGGCCAGAGCACAATGATGGTGCCAACTTGGGCCAGTGAAGCAACGTCCTCCACAACTAGATGGAAGAACAAAAACGACAGCAACTTGTCTGTTCCCTTTCCCCCAATTCCCCAGCGCTGTTCCCATCCCCCAATTCCCCAATAAAAATCTTAAAAAAAAGGTGATAAAAAAAAAAAAAAAGAATGCAGACATGCTCAGAACAGAGAGCCTATCACTTGGTTAGCTGTGCCAGGAAGGAAGGGCTAGTTTGGCAGGACTAGGAGAGTGGGTTTCTTTTTTTTTTTCTTATAACCTCTTCACCTACCCTTGTTCTAAAAGGCTTGATGTCCCATTGAGTGGATGATGAATCCTTTGGTTGTAGCCATGGTCTGTGACATTCCAGAAGTAGAAACTGTCATTTCCTCCCAGAGTCCAGATTTCTTTTATCTTGTTAAAAGCTAGAGGGGGCAGTGTCTATAAGTCAGCATTTTCTCTTAGCTGTTTTAGCCATGGCTTTCCTGTGGTGTCAGACCTAGAGCTCGCATTTCTTAGCTCCAGGACTCTGTGAGAGTTCTTGGATAACACTGACAGTAATCCTTGTATATTGCTAAGGCTCCTCAGTTGACCAATGAGCTTCTTCACAGCTGTAGGTATTTGATCCATGCACAGTCTGTTGGTGGTATACTGGCTTGGTCTAGTTCCTTCGAATTTTCCATAGCTCAGTGGTTTTCAAACTTTTAGATTTTAAATCACCGTAAAAAAAAATATATATATATATGTATATTTTATAACAGGACCCAGTACATATATATACATATATATTTGAAATAAAGTGTCATAAAACAATATTTTTACTTCTTGCAAAATACACTGGTATTTTCATGTCTATTCTGTTTGACTTCATTTTTAAAAAATGATGTTAGCAACCACTAAATTGATGCTATGATCTAATATATTGTGACTTGTAGCTTAAAAAAACACTGTTAAGTAGGTGAAATGACTGCTATATGTTGGGTGGTGGTTTCTTTCCCCTGTTTTTGCCTTTAAAAACAATTTTGGAATGTGAGCAAAGCCATCTGCAAGAGAAGCAAATTTTTCGATTGATTTCTCTCTGTCCCTTCATTTTATTGGTTTCAACTTTTAATGCTACTTTTTTTTTTTTTTTTAGCTGAGCCATCCTGCCACCTGTTGGTAGCTCAGCGGCAGCTCAGCTTGTGCTGGGAATCGAACCGGTGACCCTGTTGCTCAGAGCTTGCACTTTTGAGCGAGCTCTTAATCAACCGAGCCACTCAGCCGGCCCTTTTAATGGTACTTTTTTCCCATGAATTGAGGTGATACAAGGAAGGACAGTGAGCCTTTCCCCAAGTGCGTATCTGAGCACATATCTTACTGGTGAGAGTTCCCGGTGCCTGCCCTAATACGTGCTAAGCCCTCAAACTGAGGTAGCAATTGAGGCTACCTGGTTGGGAAGTTGAGATACCAAAATCAGCTTTCTCTCCACACAGTGGAAGTATATATTCTTTTTCTTGAGGAATTCTCTAGCCTCTTGTTTGTATTTCATGTGGTTTCTGAGGCTTCCTTAGCCAGTGTTTCTCCAGATCTGCTTTATTCTCCAATGGTTTTGATGTAGAAATAGCAACAGACCCCAACGGTTCAAAGTTTAGAACTCTTTGAGCCTCACGGGCCTGAGCAGCCTTTGTGGAGCTCAGCCCCTGTTCTGTCACTACAGCCAGGCTCCTGTCTCCATTAAATACATCAGCTCCTGTCTCCATTAAATACATCAGTCCCGCTTAGCTCACTGCTGGGAGCGTTTCATAGTTACCGTGAAGATTTTTCATGCCAGGGAGAAAGATCTTTTTGTTTCGCTCCCGTTATATTTAGGACCAATGAGTTAAGCCCTAAACAGCCCTTCCATTTAGTGTGTAAAAGAGGTGGTAAAGAAAGGAGACATTTTGCTAAAGGAAACCAAGATTGAATTAGGGGAAATGAGATGTTTATTTTCAGCTGTCAAATTATCAAAGCAGAGTGTTCCCCTACCCTCTTATACAATGATCATTCTTCTAATTGTTACTTTAAAGTCTTAATAAAATAGCCATTTTCAGTTATTTCCGGAGTAGGCCAACTCACATGAACCCACAGTGCTTGGTATTTCCAACTTTTTAGTTCTGGGTCCCCTGAGGTTCTCAGTTCATAATTCAACAGTAGAGGAACACTGTCAAGCCGTTAGTTCCTGAAACTTGGTTTAGTGTTAAAACAGTCGTTTTCCAACTGGCAACACATTTCGCCATTCACTGTATTCGCTAGTACTGTCTTCATGTACAGATGTTCTTCCCCTTCCCCATCCTTACCCCCTCGTGGGGCACATACATCTACCACCTCCTTTCCTCTTTCCCTTCCTTGTACAAGCCCAGTGGAACACAGTTGTCTGCCTCAGAGATGTCCCAGTCTGATGCATATGATGGGGTGTGTGTGTGTGTGTGTGTGTGTGTGTGTGTTATGAACACATGTAAGAAAAGGAATAAAAAGAAGCAGAGATGATTAAACTTCCTAAGCCTGAGCGGGGATTCCTGCATCCCAGCGGTGGCATTTCATTTACTGTGGCAGTTCCACAGCGTTCAGCTGTTTTGATCTTATCAATAGCCAGTTTTTCCCCACCAGGCCCTTTGGACAAAGTACATGTCACCTGGCAGCCAGCTTGCCGCATGATAACATACGTGGTTTTGGGCTCATGGTGATGTATGGCAGGTATATTTCAGGGAACTGAGGTAGACTAATGTTTCTAGGCAAGATCTAATGACTTGCCCATAAACTTATTTTTTTACCATTTTCAACTCTAACCAGTTGGAGTAGTAAGGTTTTTTTTGTTTATAACCCCCACTCAATAACTTTCAATGGAAATAATCTATTTTAAATGGCTTACAGACATTGATATTTTTAATTTCTCAGCCGTTAATATTTTCACAACCCCAACTCATTATAAAGGACCTTACTTAAAATGACAAAAGTTTATGTAAAATTTTAACCCCCAAATTTACTAAACACTGTTTGTTGCTAGAAGACTAGCTTCTCTCAAGATTTGTCTATTTATTGGCATTTATTATGGCACCTTATAAAATTAAATTTGTTGTGTGTTGCTTTAGTTAGATACCCAAACTTCTCTTGAATGTATCTACATTGAAAGATAATGGTTGATTGGTAAAAAGCAGGAAAAAGGGTTAGGTGAGGTTCCTCAGGGCAAGAAGGTACTGTTGGGGGGAGAGAGCACATGGAATTGGGCCAAAAATA